AAAAAACAAAAATATATAAAGTCGTAAACAAATTTTTATTTTTTTACTAATAATTCGGACTTTTTTTTTTTTTTTATTCATTATTTAAAAAACTTATTGAAATTGTGAAAAATTTACTTACTGTTATTTGTCGAATCGTTATACCTGTCTGGATTTACAGAATTATCATTTCTGTTCGCACTGCATGTTCCTAAATTTCCAGACACTTTTGAATTTGTCACTACATCCGAGAATAAAATGCATAGTAAAACGAAAAAACTTTTCATTATTTCTTTAAAGTACAAAATTATATGTTCAAGTTTTCTTTCAGTCTTTTCTAAAAATTATTTAAAAAATTACTTTCAATAAGTACCACTAGATATTGCTGTAAACGTTAATTGATTTTACTATATACAATAATTTGTATTTATTATTATTATTATTATTTTTTTTTTTCTTGGACAATTTGGTTATAGTTATTTTAAAACTTTCTAAATACATTTTTAAAATTGCCTGATTATTATATTTTTAACATTTTTCTATTTTATTAGCAAATATTTTGCATGTTTTTGAGTATTCATAGACCCAGATTTGTATTAATAAAAATAAACATATATTTAATAAGAGTTTTGGTAAAATTTATGATTTTTTTTTCTCATTTTACAAACTATTACTACAATTATATTACTCTTTAAGAATTCTTTACTCCATTCCAAATACATTTGTTTAAAGGTTTTCCCTCTGAAAATAAAAATTTTATCCGATACTTTAGTAAGGACAATGAAACTTATAAATGTTTTACATGATTATTTAACATTTCAAAAAGCTTTTGTTAAGAATAATCATAAAGTTATTTTTGTAAAGTATCCCTTACTAAAAAACATACAAAATTATTTTTAAAAAAATTTAAATCTTAAAAGAAATCAAAATTTTCATTATTTAAAAACATTTTTACAGAAATTTGAGTTATTCGTTACTTCACAGACTTTAAACGAGAAAAAAGTATCATAACAATCAATTATACAGAGTTATTTATCATTTCTTATTAAAAAATAATTTCTAAATTCTAAATTTTCTAAGCAAAGTAAACTTTTCTTTATCATGTAATACCTATTAATATTTACTACACTTTTTTGTGAGTGTTAAATTAGTATTTATATAAATTTAAATAAAAATTTCAAATAAAATTATACCAAGAATTCTCATTTTTTTAATTAAAAACATTATTTTATTGATTATTGACAATAAAATTTAAAGTAAAAATGTAATTACGGTTTAATTCCTGTTATATTTATGAAATTTTTTTAGCATAAAATTTTGGGTAAAAAAAAAAACTAAATCAAAAATGATTAGGTTTTAAACAATTCTGAAGGTTGTCCATTGTGTTTTTAATCGACGTGAAATATATTCGGTACTTTATTTGAAAAATATTTAGTCACAAATTATTTTCTTAGAATTAAAACATCACCAGACAGTAGATTTTCTACTGCCACGTTTCATGCGTCCACGAGCGAGTAAAAAAACTGACACGCACTCCTCATTAGTCTTTGGTGCTTCGATAGTAGACACGTTTTTTTTTTAGTTAAAGTACATTTTTTTTTCTAGAAATGACGGACGCCAGAGAACGTACATTTATCATGATCAAACCCGATGCCGTTCAAAGGGGTTTGGTAGGCAAAGTAATTCAAAGGTTTGAACAAAAAGGATTTAAATTAGTAGGTTTAAAATTTTTATGGCCAGGAAAGGAACTATTGGAAAAACATTATGCCGATTTGTCTTCTAAACCATTTTTCCCTGGCATGATCGAATACATGTCATCTGGTCCGGTTGTACCGATGGTTTGGGAAGGTTTGAACGTCGTTAAAACTGGTAGAGTAATGCTCGGAGCCACTGATCCAAAAGATTCAGCACCAGGTACGATTCGTGGAGATTTTTGCATTCAAGTTGGAAGAAATGGAGTTCACGGTTCAGACTCTGTAGAATCAGCCAACAAAGAAATAAAATTATGGTTCAAACCCGAAGAACTTGCTGACTGGAAGAGAGACACAGAAAAGTGGATTTACGAATTTTAATGAAATATTGTTGTAATCGTGTATGAAATTCACCTGAGAAGATATGAAAAAGAATGCCATTAGTCAGAAACCTACGTTGTTGTTTTTTTTTTTTCTTTAAAAAATCCAATAAATAGTTTGCACGATATTTTGTGCAGTAACAAGAATCACCAGTGATCAAATTCAAATCCTTACAAAATTTAATCTTTGTAATATACATACATATTTATATACACCATGTGATAAATATATATTATTTAATTTATAAAAAATATAAATGAAAAAAATTAATTTTTAATTTTTTTTTGTTTTCTTTTTGCTTTATTAATTTCACCAATCAATCTCCTGCCCTTTTTTTACTCGATTAAAAATTTTGTTATTTAAATATGTGTCTTTAGCATTTGGTGATGTTTGTAATGTAAATATTGTAACATTACACAATATGTTTAAATTTTTCTCATTGAAATACATATTACATATCGAAAATTTTATTTTTTTTTAAATAAAAATTATTCATTTCACTTAATGCATGAAAAATAAGCCATTATTTAAATACATAACAAGAATATTCCATGATTAAACTGACATTAATATAATACAAAAAACAAATAATTTTTTTTTTTGTGAAATGATTATTACTGATATAAATATTAATAATAAAAAACATATATTTTAAGGAATATTACAGTTGTGTAACACAAGAAATCACATGAAGTGTCTGTAAAAAAAAAAACAATTGAAACAAAATAAAATGACAAATACTTTGTTATTTAAAAAAAAAAAAAAAGAGACAATTAAACAAGAATTAAAAATTGTGCCTCTAAATGTGTTTACGATAAAAAAAACTTCAAAAGCTTTAATTAATTAATAATAAAAATTTATGAAATTATTTCAAAATGATAAAATACATATATATATGAATAATTGCATTCTTATTAATTATCATTATTATTATTATTGCTAAATAAATTGTATTCACATGTAGAGATAAAAGCTCAAATTTCTTTTTTTTTTTATTCGTTACAAATTTTTTTTACGATAAAATTTTACTCATTTATTTATTTATTTATTTTTTTTTTTTACATAATATTATTATTTATTGATAATTTATTAAAATAAGATTTATTTAATGAATCATTTAAAAAAAAAAAAAAAAAACAAAACAAATTTTATAAATTAATTAATTTTTTTAAAAAAAAAGTAATTTCTAAAAGTTATTACAGAACTCAAATTTAATAAACATAAATAAATAGTAAACTAATTTTAATAATAAAAAAAAAAAAAAAATTCAATAAAACAATAATCTAATGTAAAAAAAAAAAAACAAAAAAACAAAAAAAATTAACATAATAATAATAATAATAATAATAATAATAAAGAAAATTACAAATCAGCAATAATTGTGAATATTGTGGATGAGATTTTATTAATTGATTAAAACAATTTTTTTTTTTTTTTTTTGATTAAACTGCAACGAAAAAATAGTTATTATTATTATTATCATAGCAAATTAAATGATTAAGATTTTTAATAACAAATAATATACATAACTGTTGGATTTTAATTTTATTAATCTCAACATTGGGAGACTTTACAAATTGAAGAAAAAAAAAATCTATTTAATTTTTCCTGACAATTTTCTCAATAAATAATATACATAAATTAAATTTGTAATTTGTATATCATTTATTAAATAAATAAAATAATTAATTAAATAAAATAATTATTAATGAACACTTTTAATTAAAAAAAAAAAAGGAGGGGAGGAAAATGACAACTGCAAACCTATTTTTGAACCTATTTTAAATAATTTAACCATTTTTTTTCTTCACAACAAATAATCTATTTTAAAATTATTTATGGCTGTTGATTCTATTAAAAAGTAATAATAATAATAATATAATAATAATAATAATAATAATATATAACATATTAAAATTTAAAAATTATTCGAATGATGATTATTCATATAAAAAAAAAAAAAAAA